GGCCCTGCTCCCTTAGGTTTGTGTGGACATCCCGGGCTCGTCCAAGCTGCTCCTGGAGCTGCCCCTGGTCATCGGCACCGTCCCCCTGCACCTTTTTGGCAGCCGCTCCTCCAGTGTGGGCAGCCACTCCGACTTCCTGCTGGACTGGGGGCTGGGCGCCCTGACTCAGCAGCCCGAAGGTGAGCCCTGGCCTGCCAGGCCCCCGGAGGGAGGGCGGACTGGGGAGCTCACAGTGAGTGGGGGGCCTGACTCCCTGGCTCCCTCCACAGCTCCTCCTGAGTATTCCGACGTGGTGGCGGAGGAGGACGCAGCAGGCCCTGCACAGGGCCACTTCACACTGCTGCAGGAGGCCATGAGCTTTGAAGGCCCCTACTTTGCTTACCTCCAGGAGTGCCGCTACCTCCCACCGCCCCTGTACTCTGAGGTGAGCATCCCTTCCTGGGCCTCTCTGAGCCCTGCTGCCATGTAGGTGAGAGAACTCCTACACATATGCCAAAGCCTGAGCCCACTTGCCCCCTGCTCTGCCCTATGCACCACACCCTGACTCATGGGAACCCTTCACCCAGGAGGATCCGAACCCACCTTTGGAGGCCATGAGGCCTCGGTGTGAGACCTGCTGAGTGCCAGGTGGACGCCTCCGGGATGAGGCTGCTCGTGAACTTCCAGCTGCTGCCATGACCATGCCGCATGGCAAAACCTAGGACCGGCAAGCTTGACTGCACTGGAACTGGGGAAACTGAGTCAGCAAAACAAAGCAGATCCGACGTCACGCAGGACTGCAGAACAGCCGTGGGGGACCCTGGCTGATGTGGATGGGTGCCAAGTGCCCAGCACAGCCTCTGGGAAAATGTTGCCTGGCAGCACCTGGTCCGTGGGCAGACACAGAGCCAGACACAGATGCTCCTAGTCTCGAAGGACCAGAAGGGACCGCGAGAGTCCTGGAGGAAAGCACATTGAAGCTGAGGCTTTGAGGTATGACTAGGAGCTCAGCCTCAGACAAGCGATGGGGAGGAAAACTGAGAGAGTGTTGGAGCTGAGTGATATTTAAAGGCCGCTACTTTATCTCAGCATCAGGGGCCCCAGAGGCAGGTGTCCCAGCCGAGGTTGCACTGTGAGCTTGGACAGGCAGGAGGACCAGGGACGGGACGTTCAGGAAACCAGGTCACTGGAACGGTGCCGGGCATAAGCAATGGGACAGCCACCGCAGAGAGTCACAGATTCCTGGCCAGGCAGGTGCGGAGGAGTCCTCCTGCCTGCAGACAGTGGCGAATCTGAGGCCGAGGCAGGGAGCAGTGAAGCCACCCAGGAACAGAAGGCAGCCGGCATGGCCCTCGGGGCAGGTCCCAGCAGGCTTTGCGCCCAGCCCTTTTGTATGATTTTTTTTTTTTTTTTG